TATTCTAATTTATTCAGGTAATTCCTCCAGGAGTGGAATTTCACCATATCATTCCACATGATGGAGACATAGACAGAGAAGTAGGAAATGAAGATAGCTCGGGAAGTCCAGATCCACCAATTTGGTCAGAGGTATTCTCTATTTTCTGAACAATTTGTTGTGAATATGAACAATTATGTGTAACCAATACTTGTTTTCTGAGTAATTGTTCCATCATCCTCTTATTATTTTATCCTTTTTAGTGAAATAATAATCTTGAAGTCATTTTTAACTCTTCTTTTTGCATGTCCTGGCAGATAATGCGCTTCTTTAGCAATCCACGCAAGCCTATGATACTTGCTCTTGCCAGGCCAGATCCAAAAAAGAATTTAATCACTTTAGTCAAAGCTTTTGGAGAGTGCCGTCAACTCAGGGAGCTTGCAAACCTTGTATGTTTTCAGTTATTGAATTATACTGAATATTATAAGAAAACAATTTGTCGAGTAATTGAAAAGGCTGATTTCTAGGGGTTCTTTTGCATTTCTATTTCATCAGTCTTGTATTTGACTTTCTGCAGACATTGATAATGGGAAACCGTGATGCAATTGATGAAATGTCAACTACAAATTCATCTGTTCTTCTTTCAATACTTAAATTGATTGATAAATATGACCTGTATGGTCTAGTTGCATATCCCAAACACCACAAGCAATCTGATGTTCCTGAAATATACCGTCTGGCTGCAAAAACAAAGGTATGTCGTTGTTTTCTTATGAAGTTGAGGTTTGCCTTTGACTATTTGGTGATTGGCTACTTGGCTCTTTTATAGTCCTTAATTCAATGTGCGCTTGTGTGGACAATTGCCTGTCTAATGTTCATTTGACTTTCACTCCTCTCGGTGATGACAGTCACATATTCTCAGGATTTCTTTTGTTGGCTCTTAAATAGAATTTAGGTTCATAATAATCATTTCACATTAGTAACTTCATAGGTGTCATCAGGTATATTATAATTTTATCTAGAAGATAACACTGTTTCACAACTTGCATATGGGCTGTCCGGGAAAACTGGGACCGGTAAAGAGAGTAAAAGAGTCCCTATTGCAGTCCTTAAAACTTTCTTGTTATATGTTTCTAAGTGATGTTCTTCAATTTATTTTTTGTTAAAAAGTATATACGATAAATCTAGGCCATGTATGCCTGAAGAATGAATTTTTGATGGAAGAAAAAGTAAGCCTCCGTTTGGCAAATTCATAAATGATTATTAACAAGAATAATAGTGGATCCTATGAAATGAGTGGATAATGAGTAGTAATTATGAATGTGTGGCTGAAATCAGTGCCTAACTTTGATTATATTTAACCAAACTAGTGAGGAAAATAAAATCTCCATGAAGAATATACTGTTCTGATTTCACTGGGAGACTTCTTGCATAATTCGTTGGTTGACTTTATTCTGTTTTCTTTTGTAGGGCGTCTTCATAAACCCAGCTTTTATTGAGCCGTTTGGTCTTACTTTAGTTGAGGTGCTTGCCAAGTGCTGCTTTTATAATATTCTTATGTTATGTTTAATCTTAATATATTAGTAAATACGTCCCATTTTCCTTCGCACAGGCAGCAGCTTATGGTCTGCCTATTGTTGCCACAACAAATGGAGGTCCTGTTGACATTCATCGGGTTTGTTATCTAGAGAAACCCTTATATTGCTTTTAATTTCTTTCTTTTTTTTTGTACTGACAAAAAAATTATTCAAGGTGCTTGATAACGGTTTGCTAGTCGACCCACACAATCAGCAATCTATTGCTGATGCACTCCTGAAGCTTGTTGCTGACAAGCAACTTTGGGCAAAATGTAGGGAGCATGGATTGAAAAATATTAATCTTTTCTCGTGGCCTGAGCATTGTAAGGCTTATTTAGCTCGAGTAACAAGTTGCAAGCAGAGGCAGCCAAAATGGCTGAGAAACAATGATGTTGATACAGATTCAGAATCCGATGCCCCTGGAGAATCCTTGAGAGATATTCATGACCTATCTTTAAATTTAAATATTTCATTAGATGGTGATATTAATGAAGGGATTGGAAGTTCGAATAATGCTTCAACTTGCAGAGAAAATGCTATTGATGGGAAAAACCAGGTGAATGGTACAGCTTTGACCTTGTCCTTGGATGAGTCCATGGATAAAGCAGAAAGCAGCAAGTTTTCAGCATCGAGGAATAAAGTCATACATGTTATTGCAGTAGACTGTGATTCAACAGCAGATATTCTAAACTTTACCAAAACAATAATTGAGGCTGGCAGGACGGATGGGAATGCAGATTCTGTCAGCTTCATCTTGTCTACAGCTTCGACTTTATTGGAGATTAACTCTCTTCTGAATACGGGTGGTCTCAAGCCCAGTGATTTCTTTGCATTCATCTGCAATAGTGGAGGTGAGATATACTATCCGTCTCCAGATTCCGAGGAAAATTCTTCTGGATCTCCTTACATTATCGATTCAGTTTATCATTCACACATGGAGTATCGTTGGGGTAAAGAAAGTTTGAGGAATATGTTGGTTCGATGGGCTACTTCCATAAACGATAAAATGAAAGGAAAAGATGGACCAGTTCTCTCCGAAGATAATTCAGGATCTTCACATTGCTATGCATTTAAAGTGAAGAACCCGGCACTCGTAAGTTAACATTTACAATAATATTGAGAGCTTCAATTACAGCAGTGAACTCAACATCTTGTTCTCCATAGTTCGACTTAATTCCCTTTCTGGGCAGAATGTGACCAGTTTCTTACTCATTTTACTTTCTAGTTACAATGTTCTTCAATTAGTAATTTTTTTTTT